GGGTCTGACAAAGGAAAAGGGGGAGCTTTTCAGGTAGCTTCTTAAAGGGCCATCTCCATAGCCCTTCCCTCGTTACCAAAGACACAACCAAAAACCCCTCACAGAAAACCCAATACATCCCTCCTGCCCTACTTTAATGTGAGGGGTTCATTAAGATTCAGACTTTCCCTCTTGCAGCTTCACAGTTTTTGCTCTAGGGTTGTTGAGTTACCTGTTGAGTCCCTTTTCCAAAACTCCTTTCATCCCCTGCTGTGTGCTCCCAGGATCACGACTTGTGCAGGGGCATCCCACATCCCACCAGGGCAAAATCGTGCCCCATCCCTCTCCCCTCCTCCTTTCTGCCCTTTCGGGTGCATTGCAATGATGGGAGCAATTGCAGAGGCTGGAGAAAACCTCCCCTGCTGCAGCAGAGGTGGCAGAACCAGGACGCTAAGGAGTTCAGTGACCTCGGTCAGCTTCGTGACCTGTTAGTTTCTAAATTAACATTTTCCTTCAGGAGAGCCAAAAGGGCAAAGTGAGCCATCGGCTGGCAGGAATTAAGGAGCCAAGAGCCACACAAGGGAGCTGGGAACCCTGTCCCTGCCGCTCTGTCAACATCCCCCAGCCAGACATGGGTCAGCAGCTTTGCCAGCAACTCAGCTCTGTGAAAACGGGCAATTTGTGGTCCTAGAGTGACAAGAATTATGCTTTTTAGGGGAATAGAAATAAAAAGAGCTATTCCTATGCTGACTGACACAAGAGCTTTGAAAACCGTGCTCTTACAGTGGCTCAGCTGGTCACTTGGAGCAGAGAAAGGTCTTTTCCTACGGCTATGTCAGTGCAAGATCCTGCTGAAAGCTCAGAGGGTTTATTTGCATCTGAGTTTTCCTTCTATTCCTTCCAGATCTCCTCCTTGACTTTCTCATGGTCTAGCTGTATTTGCTTCAAAATTCATCTTTTCTTGCTTTGTTTTTCACCCATTTCAGCCCTGCCCAGGTCTATACATTCATCTGCAAACTTGTCTAGACAGCCCAGGGTCCAGACACAGCTGAGACTGGGCAGATTTTCCAGTTTGCAGGAGTTTCTAGGGCTTTCAAAATTAGCCATATGCCTCTCTATCCTCACCTGGTCCCAGGGGCTCCTTTTGTCCAGATCAACTTTCCATGCATGCAAATGCTAGCAGCCAGTGTGCCATCCCGGAGTGGGAGTGGGTTTGGGAGTTAGTTTTCTATGCAACTTGTGTGGTCAGGAAACCTTTCTCAGCTCTTATAAAAAGTGGGATCACACCTTGTAGGAGCAGCCCAGACCTCACTGACCTGCCCTTGGGCCTTGTGTTGCCAGATAAGGATGTGAAGGACATTCCTGTCCCCCCTGGCCAGTCCTTCACCTACAGCTGGAGGATCACCACTGAGGATGGGCCAACGCAGGCAGATCCTCGCTGCCTCACCCGTTTTTACTACAGCTCTATCAACCCGGTCCGAGACACGGCCTCAGGCCTGATTGGGCCCCTCCTGATCTGCTTTAAGAAGTCCATGGATCAGAGGGGAAATCAGGTGGGTCCTTCCTTTGTCACCTCAACTGCCAAGCTGAAAGGTTGGAATAACTGCAGTGGGTGAAAAATTTGGGTAAAACCAAACTTATCTGTCCTGTTCGCTTCAACCCTACTATCAGTCCCAATGCTCCTGCCTTCCCCATCCTCCCTTCTCTCCAAACCTGGACCCTAACTGCTGTGAAATAGCAGTAAACTCTTCTCCATGCACCCAGGCTAAGACCTGGCAGCTACGTTGGGCTGCAGGGGTGCTCTGATTACACTAGCAATAACTGCTTCCCTTTTTGCCTTCCAGATAATGTCAGACAACACGAGGTTGGTGCTGTTTTCGGTCTTCGATGAGAACTGCAGCTGGTACCTGGAGGAGAACATCAGGCGGTTCTGCACCGATGCAGCCCATGTAGATACCCAGGACCCCCAGTTTTACACCTCCAATGTGATGCACAGTGAGTGCTCGGCCAGGGGCTCCCTGCAAAGCCTCGCAGACACAGGCTTATCCCTGCCTCAGGGAACAAGCAGGGAACATGCAGCAGCTTGGCAGCGAAGTGGGAATTGGGTCCTGATTAAATGTTTCACCCCTGCTCTCTTCCAGCTATCAATGGCTTTGTGTTTGACAATCTCCAACCAAAACTCTGCCTGCATGAAGTTGTGTATTGGTATGTCCTGAGTGTCGGGGCCCAAACAGATTTCCTCTCCATCTTCTTCTCCGGAAACACATTCAAGCGCAACATGGTCTTTGAGGATGTGCTTACCCTTTTCCCATTTTCTGGAGAAACGGTCTTCATGAGTTTGGAAAAGCCAGGTTAGTAACATGGGCTGTTCTATAAAACATTGGCTTGGCATTGCAGCAGAGATAAGTGAGCAGCTCCAGCCAGGTCTCTGGTACCCGATCACGTTTTGGCAGCCCTGAGAGCAAAGGGATGCACAGCCTGCTGGAACAGCAAAGTGAGGGGCAATGATTAAATTAAGGCCCCATGGACCTTGCATCTGCACCCCTGGCTCCAGGCTTGGAGGTCAAGAGGAGCAGCAGTGCTGTCCCTGCTATGGGTTCAGCCACTGGTCACAGCATCCCATTTATGTCCACACCTTTGCAAGGACAGAAATCACAGACATGGAGAAGTCCTAGGAAGGACTTGCTTCAGAGTTTGGTTTTATTTCCCCCCACTCAACGGTTTTTCCTTAGCATTTGCAAAAGCAGCCCCGTTAACCATTTCCTCACTCACAGAGGAAACACAGAATGCATCATGTGATTGCAAACACCGATACGACGGGCACAAGCGCTGCACCCTGAGCCAAGCTGGCAGGGTTTCTAGACAGCCCAGAAAGCTTTCTAAAACCCAGCCAAACATTGCATCCGTTGCAGCTCCCATTTTTGCCTGCTGCTCTGAAGCCAGCAGCAGATGACAGCTGTCTCCAGCGTCACAGTCTGGTTATTACCCACCTCCTCACCTGCCCTGGGCCCCAGGAGAAGAGGTGCTGGCTGCGGGGAGCAAACGCGTTGGCGGGGGATGTGAGCAAGAGACAGCCTTTTTGTTTCTTTCTCCTGGAGTGGGAGGGACGTGACAACTGTGCCTGGGAGAGAGGCGTATTTGACAGCACCAGCGTGTCTTCGGGGTGGATAATGGTGATTACTCTGTTGCTGGTAATAATCCTGGAGGTTTTCTGGGTTCTCAGTGCATTGACTGTTCTCACCAAGCTGTGGTTGGGGTGTCACGGATGTGTCTCGCTAAGCTGTGGCAGGAAACACCGGCCCTGCTGATGGTGCTTGTCAGGACTGGCTCTGATGTTGCCAGCAACCCTGACGTCTCGTAAGTCCAGTTGTAAGATATGCTAGGGATTATGAAAACATGAAATCACTATCATGAAGCAGAGGCTGCCTGAAAATACAGGTTACACTAGCAAGGGAGCAGCGTGGGGATGGCAGCTCTTCCAATTTCCCACTGTGGTGAGCTGATGGTGTCCTCTTGTACTCTCTTGAGACAGGTGTGTGGACACTGGGGTGCCTGAATCCCAATTTCAGAGACCGAGGGATGCACGCCAAGTTCACAGTCTCGCAATGCCACCATGAGCAATACTCTGATGGGGAAGATTATGATTTCGAGGACGAGGAGGGTGCCTTTGACTTCCAACCCAGGGGCTTCTCTAAAAGAAAGAGAAGGCTCAGGCCATGTGTGAATGAGCAACTGGACAATATCACCTCTACCAGAAATGAGACTGAGAAGCCAAGGTTGTGCGTGACAGAACCCAGCCATGTGGCCCTCCTGAGCAATGGCACGAATCCCCCTTCCAACGGCACATCAACACATTTGGGAACAATCCCACATCCACCTGATATTTCCATGTCTTCCCTGCCAGAGACAAGCTATGACCCAGTGTCCTATGAATCCTTCCTGAAAGATGAACAAGAATTGTCAAAAACCATCAGCCAGAATGAAGGGTTTGGAGCTCTCCCACCTAGAGAACGCTTGGTGAGTGTCAGTGAAGGGGTCCATGGTGCTGTGACCTCCGGAGAATATCAGCAATGGCTGCACCAAGCCACACAAGCTCCAGAAGATGCTCTGGCAGGACAGAAGGTGACAAAAGCCTCGGAGGTCCAAGAGCCAGTAAAAAGGACTATGGTCCAGTCTGGTGGTACATCAGAGATCCTGGAAGGAGAGCCTCAAAAGACAAGTTTGTGGGACTCAATTACTTATTCCAGCAAAGCTCCTCTTCAAGAGAACAGGAACTCATTTTATGAGAATGACTTGGAGAGCAATCTGGGACTTCAAGACGTGTTTTCACAGGGTGCTGAGGACAACCTGCTAGGAGCGACTAATGAAATATCCTTAAATCTATATGAGCCAAAGGAGACAATCACCACAGAACCAGCTTTAAGTACTGATCCTAACTCTTCCTCCACGCTGGACAATCTTTCTGCATCTTCAGATGAGACAGCAGACAACAGGACTTCTCATGCAGTGGTTCACAGAAAAAGCAATTATACATCAAATGAACTCAATGCTAGGCTGGAAAAAAGACTTCACAAAGGGGTTTCGCAAGGCTCTTATGAACCTTTTGAAGGGAAAAATGTTTCTTCCTCAAACCTGGGGCTCAGCAAAGCTGTACAACAAATCCTCACAGATGAGAGTAACTCCTTGCCTGCAAAGAGTGGATCAGAACAAGAAGCCAGTGAACTTGCCAAAGACACAAGAAACAACCTTCTGGAAACCACCTTTGCACACACCAATGACCTTGAGCCTTCCAACTACATAATGACGGAAGAGAGGGATGAATTAATCTTGGAGGCAGTGTTTCAGGATGGTACAGCTGCTAAGGAATTGCCAGAGATGGATAGTTTTGCCTTTCCTGAATCAAATGTCGTGGCCAATGCTTTCTTAAACAGCCCTGAGCAGTTTCTGAGACACAGAGCTCCAGCTCCAAATGTGAGTAGCCCTGACCATGGGCCTCGACAAGACAGGTCACTGGAGAGCAGAGGCTTGGTGCATGGTCTGGGTCTTCCCAACACCAGCTGGCCCGGCAGCAGGGAGCCCCTCTCTGAGAGTAACAGAGCAGAGCAGGACCTGGCCAGCCAGACCCCTGAGACAGCAGTGAATAAGAAAGCCCCAAAGGCGTGTGGACCTCCTTCCTCATTTTGGAGCACTCGCTTCAAAAAGAGGTCTCTGATATCAGGGAACACTTTGCCTGAGATGACAGTGGCCCAGCAAAGCCTGGAAGAAAAATCAAACATGGTTGAGGGGAGACTACACCCAGGCAAGGATGTTCCACAAGCTCTGCTTGGAGATAATGCTGATGAGATGCATCCTGAGGAGAGGTCAAGCACAGATGGGGGTGTACAGAGCAGCAGTGAGGGGGCCCAGCACAGTGGACACCCCTTCCCCACATGGGGAGCACTCGGGAGCAATAAGATAATGGCAACAAGCAGCTCAGAAACACAAGCTGCTGTTGTGCCTGCAGACCTGGCCTCAAACTGGGACCCAGTCTCCCTGGGAGAGCGGAGCCCAGCTTTGGCCGAGCTGCAGTCAGACAGAGGTGCTGTCAGGGGGACTTCTGGGAGCGAGCCAGCTGAAGGGAGGAGCCAGATGGAGGAGGAGACAAACTCTGTGGAGCAGCTGGGTCAGTTCAGTCCTCAGCATCCGCAGGTCAGGGCCAATGCCACAGAGAAATATGTACCTGAGAACATATCTGGTCAAAGCCCAGAAGAGATCCTTGTGAAACCCGCCTCCAAAGAGAACTATACCCTGTCTCCAAGCAGCCCCCTTCTCAATAACAGCACTGCCAAAAAAAGAGACGAATATGTGCAAGCCAGTCCTGATGGATGGCAGGTGCTCAGTGGGGAAGATGTCCTCAGAGAAAATGGGAAGAGGGAGGGCCATGGCCTAGGAGAGCTCAAGGAGGATGGGGAAAGCAACAGCACAGCTGGGAAGAGGAACCATGCCCCAGAACATAGGGAGAGACAGGCTCTGAACAACAGGACCCATTCCAGCCCCTCGAGGGCAGACAAGCTGGACTATGACGAGTACAGCGACGCAGAGCAGACCATGGAGGATTTCGACATCTATGAGGAAGAGGAGCATGATCCACGCTCATTCCAGGGGGAGATACGGCAATACTTCATTGCAGCAGTGGAGGTGATCTGGGAATATGGGAACCAGAGACCCCAGCACTTCCTAAAAGCCACGTAAGTGTGACTGTCCCTCCTGTATTCCTTCTGCACTACGTGGCATGGCTTGGTGCATGAGTTGGCATGTCCTAACAGGCAGGATCACAGGTTCATGGCTGTGTGAGCCAGCCAAGCAGCGCAGGGGAAGGATGCTCCCAGCATCTCCCCTCCACCTGGGGAGTTTTGTAACTCCAGCAACTTTGAGCTTCCTTGCAATCGAGTCAGGGATGCTCTAGACTCTGCATCACCCCTGCCCTGCCATGGCTGTCCTCCCTATGGGACAGTATCACCCGACTTGCTTCACTACCCTCACCCCAGCAGGCACCCCTGGAGCGGCAGGAGGAAGCCTTTCCAGCAGTACCGCAAGGTGGTTTTCCGAGAGTACATGGACAGTTCCTTCACACAGCCGCTGCAGCGGGGAGAGCTGGACGAGCACTTGGGCATCCTCGGGCCGTACATCAGGGCAGAAGTTGAAGATGTCATCATGGTGAGTTGAAAGTTCCCATTTCCTGTAAGACCTGAAATCCCCCCTGCTGCTGGCTATGCTTAGACAGAGGGAGTGCTGAGGTGGGTCTGCAGGCTCTGCGATGCCCATGGGCTTGAGGGCAGGACCTGCCCTATTTGCTCTCTGCATGGCATGTGGATGGCACCAGGTTGGAAGACAGAGCCACCATTTGAAGGGCTTCATTGGAGGAACCTCTGAGTGTTCAGATGCAAAGCCCTGGACCTGAGACAGACCCAACCCCCTGTAACAGCACAGTCCAAGCAGCTCCTGGGCTCCATGGGGAACGTTTTGGGTGAACAGATTGTAAAAAGGGTAATGAGCTAAGCAGGGTCCAGTACAGCTTGTTTGGGTGCTCTGTGTGAGGGCAGGCTCAGACTTCCCTTGCCACCAAATGCCCTACAGCACCCACCTAAGGAAGAGGTGAAAGGCTCTGCACTAGGTTCAGGACTCATATGCCTGGAGGTTTTCACTGAAAACAGGATGGATTCAACACTTTGGGTTCCAGAGACAGTCGTGTAGCTGACCTTGCTCCCATTGAGCACGGAGAGCGCCTCATCCTGCTGACATGACCAGGATGCGCTTTCCACTGAGGATCACTCTGCACAGC